ACAGTTGACAGGGTAAGGGCTCTGGTGTATTGGCCATGGCTAAAATCCGTTTACGTGACCTATCTGCTGCGCGTCTCAAGGCGCAGAATAAATATTTATCAAAGGCAGAATTGGATAAATTAATACAATAATTGCAACGTGAAACAGTAGAGCATGGCGTAGTACAACTAGGGCATATTAAATGCTGGTCAGCAGCAGAAAAACGTAATTTACAAATAGTGCAGATTTTCATCAACGCAATCTACTGAACAAACACGGAGTCCCGTGAATAAAACAGCAGAAACACGAATAAATATCAATGCATTACCGTATATGACCGTCTATAAGCCGAATTTTGAGGACCAAAAAAAGCAGTCTGTAGAAGGGGGTCGTCTTATCCATGAGTTACACTTTCGTCAAACTTTTTTCCAGGGGTAAGAAAACAACATCGTATCACTTCGCGGGAACAAACAACAGAAGACGACTTTGTCAGTAGAGACGTCAAATTTGCAATTAAACATCACTAGACAAGATTATTTACCATTTAAGTTATAAGTTGTTTTTGCTGGGCATTGTTTTATTTGCAGGGATTAAGATTACCGTGCGTATTTGTCTCGTACACAAAGCCGGAAATAGCAATCAGCTGTGCACACGTTTCCCAGCGAACAAGTTCAAACATGCACAATAATATAACGGGACGAATTCTGACGCAGTCATCAGTAAAATATAATACAGAATACCGTTATTTAACCCAAAGAAATATATCCTAGCATTGTGTAATTTTAGTTACAGTTTTTGCTCTATAAATTAATTAAGATTACCGTATGATCTGTCTCTCATTACACAAAGCCGGAAATAGCAATCAGCTGTGCACATCGCTTCCCCGCGAACAAGTTCAAACATGCACAATAATATAGCGGGATGAATTCTATTGATTGAATACTATTATTTAACCCAAAAATATATCCTAGCATTGTGTAATAGTTTTTATGTAAAAATATATAATCAACACTAAGGTTATAATGGACCATCCTGAACGTGGTAAGCACGTGGACATGGAACGAGGCGGTAATCAGTTTGTGATTGTTGAATGGGGTAAATAAGCAAGCCAGTTTGTTGCTACAATAAATATGATATTTAGAGAAGCAAAATATATTATGCATTTTCTGTCAACTACACTTCGTTTCGATCCGTGAGTAGACACAATATATATGACAGTGAATTCTTTGAATAATATGGATCGACAGTGACACGGAATTTGATGGGTTTACGGCCCGATGACTTGTGAAAATCTCAGAACTCTCTTGCAGAAATGTCAGTGTTTATTGTTAGTGGACTATTTTTTCTTATTGTCATATATATATAGATGAAATATGGACACTTAAATAATATATTTTGAAACAAAAGTTGACTTCAGTTTTTATTTACCGATGGTACTTTTTCACAAAATGGCGTCTCGTTGTTGATGCAAGCAGTGATCTTCGGGATATAAAAAGGAACACAAACACATGTTGCCACAATACACCGGTAATCTTTATTATGTAATATTCTCACCAACACTTACGCTGTATATCCACTTTCCAAATGGCGTCTCGTTGTTGATGCAAGCAGTGATCGTTAAAAAAAGGTAAACAAACACCGGTAACGTTTATTATGTAATATTCTCGTAATGGTGTCTCGTCGTTGATGGAACATACTTACCGGGTACTCTGGTCTCTGTTGGCCGCGATCCATCGCGTGGGGTCGGCCTATCCATGAGAGATATGATTTTGACACTGATTTTGAGGGTCAAGTTTGGGGGGTCGGCTTATCCATGGGATCGGCTTATAGACGGTCATATACGGTATGTTGAAGGATACTAGCTACACCTCTATAGAAGTCTATGAGAGGTAAATAACTAAAAATAAACAAAGGATATAGTGTGTAGGGAGACACAGGCGCTCTCACATCCTGCTCACTGGGCGAAGAAGGAGAGAGTGAGGCATGTGGCGGGAAGTGGCGCCCTCGTTCCCGCGCAAAAGAGTGGGATAGAGATAACTCTTGGTGAGTACTAATTAGTGATTTTACATTGAAGGGAGCTTCAATTGGGAGATACAAGTGTTCCACTGTGTTCGCAAGAAGAAGAAGACAAGCAAAATAGCATGAGTCAGGATAAGGAAAAATAAGTTGTTTAACAAACTATCATTAAAATTTTGACACAGTTCACTATTTGTTACGAGGGAGGAGTGCAGAGAAAGGGACAGCCAGGTGTTAGAGAAGCACATGCACAAGTGCCGACAAAGCTATTGATTCATTAATCTGTGCTGTGCCGTCTCCATCCTTTCTCGCACACCTGGCTGTCCCTTTTTCTGCACTCCTCCCTCATAACAAATAGTGAACTGTGTCAATATTTTAATGACAGTTTGTTAAACAACTTTTTTATTTTTAGGACATAAATTCTGCAAAAGCTTCACAGAGTTGGTCTGACGTTTTGATTATAATCAGTGTTTCATTGTATTATTTTATGTTTATTAGTTTTCAAGTTAGATTGCAATTCATCTGTCCGCTTTTGAGCCAAACGGACTATAAATTCACCAACCCAAAGGTTACCTTGAACATTGATGACGTGCTATATGGTAGGATTGGCTTAGAAACATGCAAATTTAAGGGCCATGCCTGGATCATTCCAAACAAAATTCGTACAAACCTGTAGAGGTTACTGATTCTTTGAAGAAATTCCTCCTTGGGGTACATATAAGCATTTAAATTTCCATTTTAAATCCTACGACAGTTGTAACAATATTCTAATAAAAATATTTACAAAACAAAAAACTCGTTTTGTCTTGTGAGACTACCCCTACAGGACCCCACAGTGCCCCCTAAAGCCAAGAGCAGGTAACTCTCGCTGTCTACCTCGTACCTAACTTTTCAATACACAGTAACATGGTAATGACTGGTTAGACCGGTGTCCCATGCCCCCATATATTGAGGACACCTCGCATGTCCTGTTCAGGAAACTGCTTCAGTACAGGATACATCACAGCATCATTTCAGATGCCATGCATCACAACACAGCTTCAAGACAGGAGGCATCACATTACTGCTTCAAGACAAGATGGTTTACATCATTGCTTCAAGACAGGTTACATATAAAATTGCAATATTGCTCCAAGAGATGCTGGTTGACCATGTTTGTGTGACACTATCTGTACAAATTCTGATGGGAACCTTGTATCTCAGCTACACAGCAGCCAACAGAGCTGTCTGTGGTGGAACCTGATAGGCTAGGTGTGGCTCCTGGAGAATATGTACATGTCTTCATCAAAGAGTGAGGGTCATCAGTTTCCCCACCACGCACTTCTCATCTCCGGCCACAGTAACACCCACAGGAATGCAACACATTTTATCACAGATATTTACTGCAAAGTTGTCATAGAAATCACATTAACATACATTGAGAGCAATTGAAAATCATGAACTAACTGTTACATTTTCATTGGTTGCATCTCCACTGACACTCATTGTCTACTATAACATCTGTCAGCTGATACACAGCAAGTTGCCCACAACACGCCATGACACAACCTATTTCTGGAACATTGCATCTGCTAATGGTGGCAGAAAGCACAACAGTGTTGATCCCCAGTTGGAAAAACAAGCGTTACCTTTCACAACACAAACACATCAACATGATATTCTGTGTAATAGAGTGATGTAGGAACCCAACTTTATGGAACATGATAACTGTCAACGTGTAGCATGTTGTTGGAGAGGAGGTGGAGATCTGTAACCAGGGGTCACATACATTACATGCACTGCTTTGTCTTGGAGGTGCTATTACTTCATCATTTTTCTTACAATGTGGCTGAAGAGCCACTGGTGTTTTACATTTTAACTCGCACGCTGTTGTCAAGACTAGGTGATAGTGACATGGAATGGATAGGCTTGGATTACTGTAAACGTACTTATTTTCGCGTGGTGCAATTTTCTCGGAATTGACAGTTTAGACTACATCGCGCGGTTAATTATTCGCGCAATCAGTAATTGCCGGAACTGCCAGCTGTCTCTTTGGCCGCCACTAATAGCTGTGAAAACAAACAGAGTGGCTTAACCTGTCAGGCGGCGTTTATTGCTTACTCACAGGAAATCCCTATCTGTGCGATATACTAGTACACAGTAATCCGTTTACTCACGGAAGAGATGAAAAACACATCAGCCTTATGTTCCGAATTCTGACGATCTGACGAATTAACTTCTACAGTATATGAAGCTCTTTGTGATTTTCAAACACTCATTGTCTACTATAACATCTGTCAGCTGATAACAGCAAGTTGCCCACATGTACTGGTAAACAAAATATTTCTGGAAACTGTGCATCTGCTGTATGGTGGCAGAAAGCACAACAGTGTTGATCCCCAGTTGTATCAAAAATCTGTCATGTGACCTTTCACAACACAAACACATCAACATGATATTCTGTGTAATAGAGTGATGTAGGAAGCCTTTATGGAACATGATAACTGTCAACGTGTAGCATGTTGTTGGAGAGGAGGTGGAGATCTGTAACCAGGGGTCACATACATTACATGCACTGCTTTGTCTTGGAGGTGCTATTACTTCATCATTTTTCTTACAATGTGGCTGAAGAGCCACTGGTGTATTACATTTTAACTCGCACGCTGTTGTCAAGACTAGGTGATAGTAACATGGAATGGATAGGCTTGGATTATCTCCCCTGATCCTAAAGCAATACGATTTTGGATATTACCAGAGATATTTTTCGTCAAGCAGTTCAAATGTTTTCTTTTTTGTGACCCAAATTATGAGGCAATTATGTTACAAGATATACTTTCCTTGCATACTTTATTTTAAACCCTTAATCCTTCCTCAGTAACACTATATGAATACATGAATAGGCATATCATACCACTGCCATATAGCTGAAATACTGACACTAAAACAAAACAAAAAACAACAACAGCTGTTCCCATCTTTTATGTGACATATTCACACAAATGTGTGTAAAAGGATGCATAGCTCACCTGTATCAAGCCCCACTACAACAGTTGTTGCATCAGCCCATGTGGCATCTTGCAGCCCCGCCTCCAGCTGCACCCCAGCTGTGCATTTCTCTACATCAGGCGCCAATGCTGGATTGGAGTAGAACCAGAGAGAGCCCAACCAGTACCTGCCACTGAGACTAGAAGCTCCAAGCAGCAGACCACCATCTGAAACACCACGATCCACATATAGAGTTGCTGCTAGTGTGTACACACTCACTGCATCACTTTTCTCCTGTATTAGTTTGGAGTGAGATGAATGATTTTGGCAAAACCGCATTATCAGTGGTTTGAATTTTGAAGGCGACTCTTGATACAGACTGATTAGTTTCATATCTGAAAACGCATAATGCTGAGAGAGCGATAAACTGCGTCCTCCATTACTCAAATCAACATTTTTTAAAAATCATACAATTTAGCGAGTATTTTCCATCAATATGAATAGCAACAGTTTGCTTTACGATTGTTAGATATGATTGTCAATATTACTGACTTGTGGATCACTTACTAGCTGGTTGTTGAGAGTGTCTGAAATGGGGCTACATGTTATTGGAATATTAATGAATCCACGGGTATCATCTGATGTTGAACTTCAGAAGTAACCGATATATGAGACATTTCATTGTCTTTCTTTGTAGACATTAAATGTCTACTGCATACAATGTCAGCAACCAAACTGTATACATAAAATGAAAAACATATGTGGACCCACTTACCTTTTTCTCTATAGACACTTTTGTGGGCCCATATTTCTAAATAACTAGTAAAAAACTACAAGTCTTAGCATTTAAAAAATGTGTTGACTGTAGTTATGCAAAAGAACAAAAAACTACCTCACCAACAAATTGTAGGCATCAAAGCAGACAGAAATGTGGACCCACTATTTGAAATGTCCATTTAAAATGTAAAATGATTAAGGCCTGATAATGGACTGCAAGATCTAATTGTTTTCCTCACTAATCACAGATCAATAATTACCTCGTGGGTCAATATTTGTGGTCATAATAATCTAACGTGAGCACTGGCTCCTGCATACAGTTTTCTAAGATGCTTAGCGCATAGAACAATCGAAAAAAAAATACATTATCAGACAATAAAGGTATAGTTTTTTGATGACGTAACAATTGAATGACGTTATCCCGTCACTGCGCCATTCTAGTGTGCCCCCTCGTAATCGAACCATTTTACATTACGTCACAGTGTAAGCGACGTCACGATGCATGTCAGTTGTCTCCTACAGTAAACTACTGCGTTGCACCCCGTTTCTTGGTTTGCAGTTGCTTCACTCACCTAACATCACTGGTGGAAACATTACGTTTATGTTTTCTGACGTTTTAAATGTCTCAATTCGACTCGCAAGTTTTCAGCAACACGATAACGTTCGCAATGTTTACATTCCCACAATGCAATCGTGGAATGTCGCTAGACTACTCATCTTCGTCGGGATGTACTGATCTAAACATACATTGGTAGTAGAAATGCGACGTTCACATGGTCCACGTTAATCACAGATGTAATTAAAATACTTTAGAGAAGATATTTAATCCGAACGTAAACCGTCATGAAACTGTTTATCATTTGTTTTTCTGGTAACGTTCGTCTTAACGTAGGGGGGCAGACACATCAATAGAGCCATTTGTTTTTCTGGTAACGTTCGTCTTAACGTAGGGGGGCAGACACATCAATAGAACAGCGCGCCAGCTAGCCCTGTGCGAGGATTCTTAATTTAGGTCACCGACATCGTCGTTTGTTTACTGCCATAAATTAATCGTAATTATCCTTAGAAAGTATTAAATTTGGCATCTTAGAAAAGGAATACAGTTCGCTCTACCCCCATGTATAGTGTAATAAAACACACTTTCTCGTGCTTTAACTATAATAGTTTAGGGCAAAAGTGTGTTTTATTACACTATACATGGGGGTAGAGCGAACTGTATTTCTTAAATACGTTCTACAGTCGTGGTAATATATTTAGCATAGTTTCCATATTTTCATGGTACGAGAGTCGCATTCAATTCTCCATCTATTTCATGAAAGAATCTTGTTTAATTCCCCATTATTTGTGTATTTGGTGTGAAAGTAACGAAACTGAACCCAAAAGAAAAGCATCATCACATAATTGTTTTAGGGCTGGGACGATTCACTGATGTATCGATGCATCGCAATACATTTAAATTTGATACAGCTATCGTATCGTCGACTGGTGTATCGATACAAAACGATACATAACTTTTTTTCAAAACATTATTATCTTGAACATGTAACAGTACATATTTAGAGAAAAATACGCAAGTATGATGGAGTTACTTGTTTGTTTATTACAACACTGTTATTGTCAAACACAAATACCTTGAAATAAATCATTTAAATCTTGATACCATGTCATTCTTTCAAGGTGTATGTATCGCGATATGTATCGTATCATGACATAGTGTATCGTCCCAGCCCTAATTGTTTTGCAGCTTTCACTATACCTTCATAGTTGCCAAAACTCCATAATGCAAAGTCAGAAACTGATCCTTAGTATCTTACAGAAGTGAATTTAAACTCGATACAATATAGACAGGAATGTAAAATTGCTGAAATAGTTGATAACAATCAACAGTTGAAATAGTTGAGTTGGTTAAAATTGAAACTCATACCTAAAAGTGTGCTTGGTTGGCAAGGATTTGGGCAACTTAAGATTACAGGTACTTCCCATTAATGTGAAAGTGACAATGTGGAAAATACCTCTGAGATTGTCAGCAATACTCTTTTCATGTCTATTATATTGATTAATATTATTATCAAGCCTAAATGGTCATTAACTATTATTGCAATAGTTGATACCTGTTGCACTACAACTGCTAAAACATTGGCAACAAATCCCAAAAGTGAAAACGGCCCCAACATCCACCCGTAAATCCTATTAGATGAGACCCGTGAAGGTCCGGATTAAAATATACATCTTCAGTAACCCATGCTTGTTGTAAGAGGCGACAAATGGGATTGGGTGGTCAGGCTCGCTGACTTGGTTGCACATGTCATCGGTTCCCAATTGCGCAGATCGATGCTCATGCTGTTGATCACTGGATTGTCTGGTCCAGACTCGATTATTTACAGACCGCCGCCATATAGCTGGAATATTGCTGAGTGCAGCATAAAACTAAACTCACTCACTCACCTATTAGATGATGATAACAATTATCCAGGTAATTTCTGGAAATTCTCGAGGACAAGGACGACAGCCTGTTTGTTTCCTTGTTTACACTGAAGGTAGTATCTACCTGACCTTTCGTTATCTGTATACAACCCAAACTGATACTGTTTTTATATGTTGGCTTAACCCTCCATAGAAACCTACTCATTTTATGATAAAAACATGAACATGTAAGCTAAAAACTTGTCTATGACCCCATATATGCAGGTTGAGCACTGACTTTATGATAACCCTAGGCTGTTCATACACAGGTGGGACTTTCAAGTCATGTTGGTGTAATAGAAAATGTTATTATGTTTATTGTTGTTTTAAATTTTCATAACAATTACGTCATTATTAAAATCTAAACCAGGATGTACGGATATTAGCATTTGTATTCTAACAATTTCAAATTTTGTCTCAATATCAAATTCACACATTCTTATATCACGACAATAACAAAATGCTGAAAGAAATTATATGCCATCATCTGAATCATGGTGATTGATGTTCCCTCAATTGATTCGGTCTTTTTTTAAAAAACATTGCACATTCTTTCAATTTCCATTTTAAAAAAAACAACCTAGTTTGATAAATATGGTGTGTCTCTAACACAAACTGACAGTGAAATGTTTCAATACTATGAATATCAAGAACCAATACTGCATGCAGTTACTTCCCTTTCTAGGCACACTACTTAATTGAGCATCGTTAGGTTTATGGTAATAAGCTGGGCCCCGCCTCTCAAACACAATATACATAAGTTGGCAGGGTAAAGGGAACAGGGAACCAGGTTATGGTAATGGCGGCAGTTGCTTTTTGAACTTGTCATATACTGCTTGCTGATTCGGTCTACAACAAAATGAAATTTGCGATGAAACATCATTAAACCTGGTGATTTACAAATCCAATGGTATTTTGGTACTAAATGCCAAACCTTTTCCATATGAAGAAGATTACATCTGTATTTACCTCGTAAAATAGACAAACATTGCAATTAACTGTGCACACACTTCCCCAATCTGTGAATGATTTAATTTTAAGAATACTTTTCATGACCAAAATCAAAACGAAGGGATGATACAAAGTCACCCAACCATTGTACAAGAAACAACATGTTGTACAAAACACCATCACACAGTATACCACAGTGTACAAGAAACACCGTAACACAGTATACAACATTGTACAAGAAACACCATCACACAGTATACAACATTGTACAAGAAACATCCACACACAGTATACCACATTGTACAAGAAACACCATCATACAGCATACAACATTGTACAAGAAACACCCTCACACAGTAAAAGTATACAACATTGTACAATAAACACCGGGGGTGACCCTCACACAGTATACAACATTGTACAAAAAACACACACAGTATACCACGTTGTACAAGAAACAACCTCACACAGTAGTAGTATACAACATTGTACAAGAAACACCCTCACAGTAATAGTATACAACATTATACAATAAACACCAAAGGTGACCCTCACACAGTATACAACATTGTACAAGAAACATCCTCACACAGTAATAGTATACAACATTATACAATAAACACCAAGGGTGACCCTCACACAGTATACCACGTTGTACAACAAACACCCTCACACAGTAATAGTATACAACATTGTACAATAAACACCGAGGGGTGACCCCCACACAGTATACAACATTGTACAAGAAACACCCTCACACAGTATACCACATTGTACAAGGCAGATGCTTCCAAGTACAAATATGGAAGTGGACAGGAAGCAGATGTAAATGTGACGACACAATTCAGACAATCCATCCACATTCTGGGAATTTGTCTGTGACTTGTCTATGCACTGGTGTAAACAACTGGGCATCACACATTCAGTCTGATGCCTTATTGGCAAGTTAGTTTCTGACAGAAGAACCCATTGAAAACTCTAACTTGTTACTCTAACTGTATAGTTCACATAGTTTCAAATCATCCTAATTACTGGA